TTTCATTCCTTGTTCATTTCTTCTCTATATATATTTTCAAATAATTAATCATCTAGGTAAGATTTTTATTTTTAACCAACTTGTCATTTCATTGATGTTATTTTCAGGTTCAATTTTGTTTGCTATTATTTCAATCTTTTATCCTTCCAGTCATTTATTGTTCTTCATTTTGAATTTTCAATCATTAAGCTTAAATGTCAGTTCAATTTGTAGTTTGGTGATCTAATAGTTATTTTCATGACCATCACATAATCTTTCTGGTAGTTCACATATTTCCATCTCTTGGTGATTAGTCATTTGTTGCTTGTTTTTCCCTATCTTACAATAATTCTGACATCACTTTTGATTCTTGTAATAAGGTCTTGGCATTCGTATACTGCAGTAGATACTCATTCCAGGTTTTGCAGTCTTCCTTTAAAAGTGCCTGTTCAAAGATTCTGGACAGACTGTTGTAGCCTCTGGGTGCATACCACCAATACAGACTTTTAAACACTAGGGAGTTATCTCATTACAACACTGCACTGGTTGGCACAAGGGAATCTTGTGCCCATTGATTAAGGCACAGATTTGAGAAATGCTTAAAACCTACTAAGGCTAAAACAGCACTAAAATTTATCTAAATTTCATTAACACTAAGCCTCCTGTAGTCAACCAGTATTGTATAGTATAAACAAATGCAGATCTGTTCCATCTGGTTGGCACTACATTTTCCTGCCTGATACTGGGCAAAGTGTTGAAATGAAGCTCAAATCACAGGCATCTTCTTTCAAAGGCCACAACATTCCACACAATAAAGAGTTTCATGGTTGGGCCTGTTAAGTATTGGAGTCCTTAGTGAAATTCCATGCTTATTTATCCATTTTATTCACTGTAATGATGGAATACCATCAATGAATATACTGTTTTATTTATACAATAGTTGATGGATATTTTGATTTTTCTCTACATATTGACTACTTTAAAGAGTGCTGCTTTGAAAATTTTCGGAAAGTTTTTGAACACTTCAGTTCATTTGGTGAAATGCTTGTATGTCAAATCAAGTCATATAATAATTCTCTTTTTTTACGAACCACAAACTTCTTTCTACCATATTAGCATAATTTTCCATTCCTATTAATAATAGGTAAAAATTCTAATTTCTCCACATACTTAACAATATTTAAAACTCTCCTCCTTGTAAAGGAAAGCCATCTAATGGGTATAATGAAGCATCTGCTTTCAATGTAGTTTGCACTTGACTAAGGAAAAGTAATGTTGGCATCTTTCTAGGTACATGTCACTAAGAGTATGTATGCTTTAGAAGTTAAAGTTTAGATGTCTTTTACTCTGTCCATTATTTAACTTAGTCTGCTTGGCTGCAGAATTACTATATGAATAATTCCTACATATTTCAGAATTTTTCAGTTTGCCTTCTGTTATAATGGTCCATTCCATTATAAAAAAGAAATATGTTTATATGGTGGTTTAAAATTTTATTGTTGTTCTTGCTTTTCAGCTTTAGTTGTTTGAAATAAGGTTATGATATGTAGCCTGGGCTTACCTCGGCTTTCTGAGTGTGTACTTTATAAGGCAAAACAGACCATAAACAAACCTCAAGGCATCAGGGTTGTTGATAATCAAGTAAAAAAGATTTGTCTTCTGGTTATGTAACTTTTTAGCAACTATTAACTTATTTGTTTCAAAGCATATTTTGCTATTAACCTAGTTTACCAATTCTTTTGACAAGCTGTTGTCACTTGTCTCTATCCTCTTTTCTTAAAACACATTTCTCTTTAAAGTTTACTCCCAAAATCCTTATGCATAACATATAGTTAGGTCTTTGTAAAGAACCCATGTGAAATTCTGTCTTTCAAATGCAGAGTTTATATTATAGCTAAGTTTATCACTGTGGTATTCAGTTTCTTAGCCCTGTTATATATTTCTCCCTTTTGTTTATATTGAACATTGCATTAGTTTCCTAAGGCCGCTGTGACATAGTACAAGACAAATTTATTGTGTTAATTTTCGAGTCTAAACAAAAATAACATGAACCTTTAAAGAAAATCATAGTATCATTAGACCCATACTTCATCTGACCTGTATGGGAGAATCTTTGTCTCTTGTGGGCTCTGATTTTTTTTTTTTTTTTTAAGTACTCTTTGGCATTCCTTGTCTCACAGAAGCAATGCCTCAATCTTTTGTTCTTTAGCACGTACTCATTTCTTCCTATGCTCTCCTTATCTAGTAAGGGCATCAGTCATACTAAATCAGAGCTCATTTTAAAACCATCATCTTCAGTTGACTACAACTGAAAAGATGCTATTTCCAAACAAACTCCCCTTCATAAGTATTAGGACATCATATTGGGGAAGGGGACAGCCTATAGTTTGTGTGATTGCATTTTAAATTTCTTGTATTATTAACTTCAACTGTTTGATCTAGTGGGTGTTTTCGAGCTTACAGTATACATTTTTATCAGTCTACCTTCAGGTTACAACCTTTGTGAATACTATAAGAAACTTAGACTGGTGTTTTCTCATCTTTGATCTATATTACTTGCATAATTTGAATAATAACTCTATTGTTCTTGCAGACTTACTGTGTGATATTTGTATATATGCATTCCTAATCTACTCTCCCTTTTGCATATGCATTCTGCATCATTTCCTGCTATCTGAAGTTATGTGTCAGATTTTTCTCATCACCATTTAGGGCAATGGGAACTGGTATAATTTTCTTCATGCGTGTCAGATACATTTAAGTCTATATGTATCATTTATCAAATTTATATTTATATCTTAAAATATTCCTTGTTGCATCTGCCTTTCCTCCTGCTATGGAGCTTTGATTTTCATACTACAGACGTTAGGGCCAAGTTGTTGCTTCTCTTGTTACAGTTATGGTAGCTAGATGTTAGCCCTTGTAAACATTCCCTATGAAATAGGCACCTGTGGTCTAAGAGCAATACCTGACCAAAAGCCAAATTAAGTTTTAACGCCTGTAAGGCTCAGCTTAGTTTAAGAAAATGATTTACCAGCATTTTAGCAGGGAGACTAAATGTGTTTAGGCATCTGTTGAGCTTAGGTATAAGAGACTCTCAGGTTTTGGTGGTTATGTATTTTCAAAAGTACTATCAAGGATAATTTTAACACAATTTCAAAAATTTACAAGAAGCTATTACCTCACTAAGAAGCCTTCTAACATTCCGCCCTTAGGTGCCCCCTTTCAGACCCAAATCCACACTTCTATTCCTACACTGTAGCACGCAGAAAGAGCAAAAACTCAGTCTGCAATGAGTCAAGTGAATTGTCTTTTGCCTTTTCATTTTTTCCCTTCTGATTTTCTAGGACAACATATTTAGAACTAGTTAAAAGACAGGGCCAGTGAAAAAGTGAACTTGCTGGTAACCCTGACAACCCGTGTTCAATCCCCAGAAGCCACACAATAGAAACTAAACAACTCAGAAAGTTTCCTTGTGCATGCACACTTGAATACTGAGCAAAAAATTCCGAGTGTAACCAAATTACATGCACACAAAATAAATTAATAATGTAATAGTTAATAAACAGACTTTGGCAAATTAAGAATATACTTGAGACTTCAGTGGGAACAGATAAAAGAGGCAAACATTTTTGAAATAACTTCTGAAATGCAGTTAGCTAATAGGCTAGCTTCCTTTACCAAAGTATACATCTTCTAGTTACAAACTGGAATCCCTCTGGCACTATCTTATCTTAAAGCACTTCCTGCCACATCTAGCTATCTCTGGGTCAGAATCCTTCATTTGAATCAAGAAGTAAATTGGAGGGGATGGGGATTTGACTCAGAAAAGTACTTGCCTTGTTTACATGAGGACATGTGCTCCATCTCCCAAGTTTCCAGGCCTCCCCCATCCCTGCCCGCTCCCCCACCCCACCCCCAAATATAAATCTTACTACTATGTTCTTTGGAATCCACCATGAAGGGTCAAACAGCATGATGAGGCAGTGATGGGACCTAAGAGGTTAACTAATGACAATTATTTTAGAGTTGATATTTCAACTATTTGAAATACCTTCACTTGGCTAACTGATTTCATACAGTGAGTAAATATCTGGTTATCTAAAAGCTATAATGAGAGTTGTGATTGGAAAAGAGCATTCAGCTAGTAAGAAGGAGAATGAAAATTAAGATTCTATGAGTCTGTCATTATATAATTATAAAGTGTATTCATATTTTGATGTAGTGAAATATTAAAAGGCCCAACTCAACTGAATATTTAAGTCTTCCTGCTCAGTTCTTCCAATAGATGTAAAGCCTAAATGTAGGGCCTATAGCAACTTACCACCTCCTCACCCACATACACACTTCTTGTATTGTCCTTCAGGCTTAACAACTACTTAGGACACCTCTGCACTAGAGGAAGTCATATAAAGCATATTGTCTTACTTATCAAGTTGTTAGGATTATGAAAAGTGATGGTGGAGAGTGGGGTGTTAATACTTTCTTTCAAGAATTTACCTTCTTGGCAAGCCCACCTGAGATGGTTTGGCTTGGCTGTTAGTTTGCAATGTTTCCTACCTCGAAAGCTTCTATACTGCACAGCAGTCAAATTCTAAGTGTGTGGCTTATTAAGAAAGGTCATTTGTGCAGGGTAATTCTTGAGACAGCTGCTGGCTTATCTCTTGTAACAAAGACATATAGCTCTTGAGAAAACACCCACCTTGACCAAAGATTGGTGGTAAGTGCCCTTTAATTCAGCTGCCAAAGGCCACTTCAGGCATGTCTTACCTTGGAATCCTTGCAAGAGTCATTTACCACTCCTGGGTCACCCAGTATCTAAAGATCACAGATAAAGTCCCAAAGTATATTATTTCAAACACAGATCACTGTGTTTAAGAACACTTTGAAATCTCCTTGCATATTTTGAGACCAGTATTACCCGATGGCAAAACCAGACAAAGATAAGAAAAAACCTACAGACCAATATTTTTATGAATATAGATGCAAATATGCTAAACAAAATACTAGCAAACCAAATCCAGCAGCATAGAAAATGGTTTATGTAGCATAGACAAGTGGGGTTATTCCAGGAATGCAAGGTTTGTTCAATATACAAAATCCATCAATGTAATACAACATATCAATAAAGGACAAAACTACATGACAACCTTGATACAGAAGCATTTGACAAAATTCAATACTTTTTTGATTAAAAAAAAAAAACACTCAATAAAGTAGGAATAGATGGAATTTCCTCAACTTGCAGCATCTATCAAAAACCCACAGCTAACATCATACTTAATGGTGAAAGACCTAATACTTTGCCCCTAAAATCACGGAACAAGAAAAAGATGTCCACTCTTGCCACTTCTATTTAATATTATACTGGACATGCTAGCCAGGGCACTTAAGCAGGAAAATCAAATAAAAAGAAACCAGATTGGAAAGGAAGAAAAAGTATTTCTATTAACAGAAACACAATCTTGGATAAAAAAAAAAAAACAAAAACAAAATAAGCTCAGAATAGCTATAGTATATAAGGTCAATACACAAAATTAAATTCTTTCTAGATGCTAGCAATGAATAATACAAAAAAGAAAACAATTGTTTGGAATAGCATCAAGAAGAATACCTTTGAAAAACATTTAACCCACCCCCCAAAAATCAAGATGTATACACTAAAATCTATAAAACAGCATTGAAAGAAATTACAGACCTAAATAAATGGAAAGACACTCCATGTTTATGGATTAGAAAATTTAATACTGTTAAAATACCAACATACTTTAATCTGATGTATCGAATCAACACAAAAACTATCAAAATCACAGGTGCTTGTTACAAAGAAATTAACAAATCAAATTGATCCTAAAATCCATGTGTAATGCAAGGGACCCAGAATAGGTAAAATGATCTTGAAGTAGAACAAAGTTGGTGGACTCAAACATCCTAAATTCAAAACTTACTACATAGCTACAAGTAAGACAATGTGGTACTGGCTTAAGAACAGGACAATGGATAAAAGTTGAGGAGTACATTTTTACAGTCACTTATATGGGGTGGGGTGAGGATTTGTTTTGTTTTTCACAAGGATGCCAATCCCACTCATAAAGAAATGATTATCAGTCTATGTAACAATTAGTTATTTGTTCTACTAGATAGTCACATATTAAAGAATGAAACTGGATCCCTACAATGCACCACATGCAAAAATGGATCAAGGACCTAAATTTAAGAACTAAAACCGTAAGATGCTTACAAGACGCAAGAGAAATTAAAATTTAACTTGTACACAAAGTGTTCATAGTTGTAGTATTCATAATATGCAAAAAGCAGAAACAACACAAGTATCCACAACCAAACAGACAAGCAAAAAAATACATTATATCAATACAATGACAATATTCAGTCACGAAAGAAACAGTACCGATACATGCTACAACAAAGATGTACTTTGAACTCATTACTTTGGGGATGGGGGGTGGGGAACAGACACAAAAGGCCACATATTATATGACTCCATTAACATGAAATGTCCAAAATAGGCAAATTCATAGGCATATGTAGATGAGTAGTTGCCAGGGGCTGGGGGTTAAGAACAGGCAGTCACACCTAATGAGTACAGAAAACTTTTTACAGTGATGAAAATGCTCTGGAATTATATATAATGACAACTTCACAACTCTGTGAATATACTATAACCACAAATTTTACACTTTTTAAAGGGATGAATTTTATATTATGTGAATTGTATCTCAAACAAATATGAGGGAAAGCACATCTCTCCTATTTAAAAGTGGATGAGATAAGGTCAACTCTTCCAAAATAGATCTTTATTACAGGCATTTCCAATCTCTTGATGTTTTTCTTTTAGTTAACAAGCAAATTCTGGGAGAATTCCCCTCAGGGTGTCTTCCAAGATGTTATCTAACATCTGTATTTCATTAAAACCACACAACTAGAGATAAGGTAGGATTGGGTATGATCTAAGTCAAGGCAATGGCAGGCCCAAACTAAACTCTGAAGTCCTTTGAGTGAAAGATGCAATCTCAACCACTCTACTATTTTCCATACACCTTCCACATCATTTTCTATGTATTTCTGGGGAATGAAAAATAATTAGGATAATGATCCTAGGTACCATGCATGTCAGCCTAAGAATCTTAATTTGATGGTTGAATTTTTTTTTTTTTTTTTTTTTTTTGGCAAAGAGAATATGACAATTATTAGGTGGTCATGTAGGCCCACCATAGCACTAGTCATCCTTTTTCCTGGCTATATGACTTTAAGTAAGGTGTATAAACTCTCAAGTTACAGTGACTGACCTGTTTTGTGCAAATGAAGGACTACATGCACAGGTACTTGACAGTCACTGAAAGTTTCCTTCAGAATTTACAGGAATCTTTGACTTACAAAGTATAAGAAATGTTAAATATGACTCACATACATTTACAGAGAACAGCATCTAGAGGATTCCTCTGTGAAAATGAGGGACTAGTAATAGCAGAATGATCCAAGGTGTGCCAGCTGCCATCTTTACCGGGATAAAGGAAAGTGTGTTTGTGGTATAAAGAAGGTAGAATGTAGAGAGTCACAAAAAAAAAAAAAAAAAAAAAAAAAAAAAAAAAGAAAGGAAGGAAGAAAGAAAAAGTCTTCCTTTCAAAGATCTAGTCTTTTCCAACTCTCTGACTTCCTTTTCCAGTTGGCTAATATGATACACACACACACACACACACACACACACACACACACACACACACACACACACACACACACACACACACACGAGAGAGAGACAGAAAGATCTATGGTTTGATAGAATAAGAGGAGAAAAGATGAGAGAAGCAGCAAGTGAAAGTTGCTATTATTATCATATTTTACTCTGGTGGCCCTGGGAAGGGTAGAAAGGATAAAGATAGTCTTAAGCAACTAAAGGGAAGAACATCACAAAATGTAGCCTCAGAAAAACACTTCTCTCTCCAGGAGGTTATGTGGATTCTTGAGAAAAAAACTCCTTACATCAGTTTAAGTTTCAGTACAGCCACCTCACAGAAATAGGGAGTGATGCTGCCCAATTATAAGCATGTGCCACATGTTAATATGAACAAGTTCTCTGAAGCCTCATTTATAGGTTTCTTTTGATAATATATCTTCCTATACAGGGATGTATCTCCAAATAAAGCTAAGGTAATTGTAACTGGATTTGATCACACAATTAACTATAGACCACAATATATACAATCAGACACTCAATTCATTTGCTGCAGCTGCCAAGTCTCCAGAAAATTTTTGCTGCAGGCTGTGCTTTTTTTAAGCTTTAAGTTTGAAATGTTCTACAACACTAAAAGGTATACTTTTACTCATAAGATACTGTTCCTTGACATTCTAAGAAAGCAATAATGGAAAGGCAGCCATAATAACGTGGTAACATGCTGAGAAAAACTGATTATGAAGCAAATAAGAGTTTATTTTTTTCTTCTTAAAACTTTTTAGGGTATTTTTCCACTTTCTATTAAATATATTGATGTTACTTCTGTCTGATAATCTATATTATCACTTAAACTTTCACACAGATATAGTATCACAGCTACTTCAATACTGTAGCAACAATAAAACTTGAGAACTGAAGAACACAAATTTCTTCACAAATTTATTGTATAAAGTATATCCACTTAATTTGTCTTCTTATCACTTTCAAAATACATAAGAAGCTCAGTGGATGAAGAGGCCCTTTAAGATGACTATAGTCACATTTATGGGTCCTATAATCAAGGTAGCATACATACCACAACAGTGTTCTAAAGGCTATCCCAGGGGGAAAAAAAAAAAAAAAAAAAAAACCACATTACCTTATCACAGTATAGAAAGCACTGTGTTCTTTTTCTCCCATTAAGGTATAGTTTTCTTTTTTTAAGCCACTGCTTTATTTAGCATTACAGTAAATAATAGTTCTGTTTTGATTACTACAAGAATGAAAAATGATTTGAAAAAAGCATTTCCAATGATTTGAAAGCTACATTTTCCCCTGCCAATTTTAAAATATAAGGTTGATTTGCACTAATTGTTAAAAGAATCAAATCACAAGCTCAACAAATTAGCTGTAGCTTGTAGTAAAATGATATACCAGTATGTCTCTCCTTAGTTAAAAATACATAATTCTTTTATTTTCTTATGCAACAAAAGAAATTAACATCACAGACATAGAAGACTAGGAATGGGAAACTACATTAAATATCCAGTAATTTAAGCCTACTTGTACTTTTCTACAGCACATGAATATTTAACACTTTTTGATGTAAAATTTAATTTGGGGGATATACAATGTAATTCTCAGGAGTAATAGTTCCATTCATTTGCAGGCCTGCTTACTGTGTGACTAAGTAACACAAGGCACAGTAGCCATCCTTTCTGTTATGCTGCAACACTGATCGAGTGCCTTGAAAAATAGCTGATTAAATAAGATGATGGCAACAGAAGGGGAGACTTTGGATTGTCTATTTAAAATCTAGGTAATAATAAAGATTCATTTTAAGAGCACTTTTACATGCTTGTTTATACAACAAACTTTGTAATTTTGTTGCAATAGGCTTGACTAACCTATCATTTGGCCAAATGCACTTTCCCCAGTAAACTTAAAACAACAAAAACAAAAACAACAACAACAAAAAATCCCTGTCCTTTCATATACTAAGAGGATTGGCTACTGAAACAGTTCATTGCAAGACACATGAAGACAACATACTGTGGCATGAGTTGTTTTAATTTGCTGTGCTGTTACTAAAGTTCTGAGGGCTGTGGTTCAAACATTCCAAGTTCTCCCTTCCATCTTTATTGATTCTCAAAATTTTGTACAGAAAACTCTTTGGGGGCTAGAACAGCAGTACTTGCACCATACTGTTTCTAAGACTTCAAGTTTCAAAAGCAAACTGATAGGGAAAAAAAGGAAAAAAAGAAAAAAGGTCCTGATTTGAGCTAGATTCAGGGACAAAAAAAGAAAAAAAAAAGAAAAGAAAAAAAAAAGCAAGAAAAAAGCACATACTTGAAGATTACATGGTCTACAAATGGTGGCAATGTTTTCCTTGCGAGAGTAGTTTTGTTGGTATATATATTTTAAATACTCAAAAAGGCTCAACCTCAAGCAGTAATAAACACAAGCAAAAGTGATTTAACCCTTAAAATAAATATTCAGAAAAACCTCTCTGTACATACAAGTGAAAGAATATGTAACACTTTCACGCAAAAAAATAATTATAATAATAATAAAGGATTTGTTCATATATGTAGCTGAAATCTGCTGTTCAGCCCACAATGTCCCCAATGAAGAAGGGAGGCACAGACATAGATGACTACTGTGGTTCACTATCTTACAGCCTTTTTGTACTGGGACACTATCACCACCAAATTATCCCTCTTACTATATTTATTATGTTTTTTTAAATGTTTTTCTTTTTTTTTTCTTTTTCTTTTTGTTTTTGCTTCTTTACAGCATGCCAAATCCTTTGGCGTATGTGATGGCCTTCAACAATCTCTCTTTAAGTTTTTCTTTGCTTGAATATTCCGGTAGTAAAAGGACATTAAAGCAAGTATGAGATGTAGGTAACCTAAATAGAGAGAAAAACAGGAAAATCATAAGTTGTAAGAAATATGCTCAGTGTGAAATACTCCTATTAGATGCTTATCTAGTTAAAATGGTTTATAATGAGAAACTACAGATTAGATAAATCATAAACAGTGTGCTGTTTAGCTACAAAGATCAGTTGGTCTTTAGCCTATAAAATAATGCTAACATGATGAAGGTGATAGTGATGACAGTAATATTTTGCATTTACTGAGTTTCTACTCTATGTTAGCTATTGCTTTAGATACTTACCTTTGTAGTTCATTTACATCTTCACACAACAAACATACCAAGATTACTAAACCCACTTAAAAGCTGAAGTCACTAAACAACTTAAAGTACAAAAACTATTCAAAACTATCATTAAAGATTTCAGAGTCTGCTCCTTTTCTTTTTTTTTCCCTTTCCCTTTCTTTCTTCTTCTTTTTTTTTTCCCAAGACTGAATAGAAATACAATTGGTGGGGCTGGACAGATGGCTCAGAGTTCAAGAGCATACGCTGCTCTTCCACAGGTCCTGAGTTCAATTCCCAGCAACCACATGGTGGCTCACCACAATCTGTAATGAGAGCTGGTGCCCTCTTCTGACTTTCATACATCCATGCAGGCAGGATACTATATACATAATAAACAAATAAATCTTGAAACACAATTGGCAAAATGACAGTGAAAATGATTGAATGGCAAATATAAATTAATTAAAATTAGATCCATAATGTATTATCAACTAATATAGACTAGACAGTAATGAAAATATATCTGTAGATGTATACCAAAGTCAACATACTTCTATGGATATGTCATCCAGCCCCACTATAAAAGAGAAAAGTATTTAATGGGGAAAGGATACAATCATATGTCAAAATTATGTAACTCAGGATTCTAGAATAAACTTTAAAAAACAGATAATCCTGAAAATTTCAGTGTAAGCATTCTAAATACACTATTCTATAAAACAGCTTTCTTAATAAACTTTATTGGGATGATAAATCATACCAATTTGACAAACTGTACTCATGTACCTCCCAATTACTTTTTAAGTATGTCAATTTTACAATTGAATAATAAAGGTAAAATATCCCTTTCACTAATGTTTTGTTGACTTGGATATTTCTATATAATATCATAAGTGAGCACAGAGGCTAAATGTCTCTGATCACATGTGTGCAGCATGAAGTTTAAAGGTTTACAGTGGAGATGGAGTTGCACTTCAATATTTACCTTTCTGAGTCTGGGCCATTTTTGGCTATAATCATCTTCAATTTTCCCAGTCCTCCAACAGGTGCTCTGTCTGTGCCAGTTGTAAACTGCAAGAAGAGTCTTTTCTGTTCATCTGTAAACGAATGAACAGTTTCCCAGAACTCCCTAATAAGAAAAGATACAATACTGGTTTTAATTTGACATTATTACAAACACAAGTTCATGGTACTTACAACATCATTAAGGACAGTTAGTTACAGTTAGTATTAGCAAGATGGTAACAGATTTAAATTATAAGAAAAACATGAATTGATAGAAGTTAAAAAAAAACCTCACTTAATAACAGAAATACAAATGTACTTTTCATGTAGTTTTTCTGAGAGAAAAAGTTATATTGATATGTATCCCACATGCAGTATTTACAATTTATAATATCTGGCTGACTAAAACCTATGAATTAAATTTAACAATGTAATAATCTTTATGTTACACTAATTTCAAAAAACAACACAGAAGCTCCATACTGAGCAATTTTGGTTTTCTTCAATTAATTACCTATCTATAAAATGGATACAGCACTAACTGCTAAGAAAATTAAGATTTTAGAAGAAATTCAAAAGTATTTTTAATTGGCAACAGAGTGTATTTTATGTTTTAAATTTCTTTCCACAATAATCTTAGAAGAGGACTAGATAGATTACTCATTGGGTAACAGCACTTGCCATGAAATTTGTCAACTCCTTAATAATATATATTCTGTCATCTCCACTAGTTCCATGACATGTACACCAATGCACACACAAACATACACACAATTAAATGTAACAAAAAAATTTTAATCTCACAAGAGACATTCTGCTTTCCAAGTCTTTAAATGAGATTTTATTCTTTGACATTCTGGTATACTATATTCTTATTATCCAAATGTTGGCATTTCTATTGCTGCAAACCATTATTCTGATAATAATCACATTACTTCCAAAATTTCAATATCTGAAAGCTTTATCAGATTTCTTAACTTTCTCCAATCTCTTGACTTGGTTCTTATAAAACTAATATGAAACCAGAGAAAATGATAACTGTACACACAACCAATAGGAAGCTGGACAAGGAATTCATGCAAGAATCCCCCAGTCAGAAGGAAAAGCTCAGACTACCATTTGTAGACTTCATTTTTGTGATTTTGCAGGAGAAAAGTAGACTGTAACCCCAAGACCTCTGCCAGGACACAAAATCTACACAGCTAAGTTGGAGAAGGGAAAATCAGGTCTTCTTTGGAGATGTGTCCCTGGATAGGCTGACCAGGCTCCAATGAATGGGTTCACATGCATGCATATTTGAGTCATTCTAGGTCTGGACTCAGGGCCTACTTTTTAAAAATAGGGCCTAAGTTAGGGAGGGGGTATGGGGAGTAAGGTGAATCTGATAAGAGTTTCAAAAAGGTATAAGGGGTAAACTGATCAAAATACACTGCATACATATATGAAATTTTCAAAGAATGAATTATTTTAAAATTTGAAAGCTATAATGCAAGGTGGGTGGTTAAAATAAAAGACTTTTCCCTCTGTAGGACAGCTCTGATACTTGACCTAATCAGTCATCTAAGTAGGCATGCCTACAGCAATCACTGCAGGTCATGGAGAAAGCAGATAAATCAGTGTGACAGTGATCAGATCTGGCTATGCTATTTAAAAGCCATTTTTGCAGTTGCTTGATGGCGCACACCTTTAATCCCAGCACTCGGGAGGCAGAGGCAGGTGGATCTCTGTGAGTTCGAGACCAGCCTGGTCTACAACAGCTAGTTCCAGGACAGCCTCCAAAGCCACAGAGAAATCCTGTCTCGGGAAAAAACAAAAACAAAAACAAAAACAAAAACAAAAAAACCCTCAGAGGTCCAGAAATTCTACTCAATGAAAACAATGCTGAAAAGGATTTCCTTTTCCTGTAGTACCCTACAATAAAATCTTTAACAAAAGAAAAAAAGCGTATTTAGAAAGCTTAGGAGAAGGTATCAAATAGATCATATCCTATTCACATCTCCACAATCTATTTAGATCAAATAAAAAAGAAAAAAGTACAATGAAAATAGGACATCAAGTAATAAATCCCAAAAGACAAAAAAAAAAAAAAAACAAACAAACAAAAAAAAAACCCACAACATAAACAGAGTTAAGGACCATAAAAGGACAAAAGGGGGGGGGGGTTGAAGGGGGAGACAGGCATAGGAGGCTGTGAAAAAAAAGGGTAGTGAAGTTTTTTAAAAGGGATAGATAGATATGCCTGCTAAAAGGGGCTCTAACTAAAAGAAGATGTAGTTGAAAACCTAGAAGGCACTAAATCACAAAAAGCAGAACCAAACATTAATGGAACATTGTACATTGGTAAAAGGAATACCTTTCAACAGCAAAACCTCTTAAAGTAACTGTACTATGTATTATGCTTTGCTGCCCCAAGACATTTATTAACAGCAGGTCCAGAAAAAACAAAAATAGAAAGTAAATGAGAAATGAGAAAAAAATGTAATTTTAGGTCCAATTAGAAATATGAAGAGTTCTGCAAAGAAGAAACAAAGCTTTCTCGAATAGGAAAGTACATAAAAAAGACTAAATCATAAACAATAGAAAGTCTAACATGAAAAGTTCAGCCACAAAGAATGCCATGGATTAGAAATAAAGAAATGAATAAATTCAAACAGAAATAAAAATACTTGAAAATTCTGAAGCACTATGCACAGGAACTCTGGAAATAATTGATAATTGATGAATGAAGTGGGCAAAGGAGGAAAAAGAAATCATTTCTATTTAACAACCATCCACCATTTATAGCTGACAATAGTCTAGAAACAAAAAATCAAGATGGGGGCAGGTGAGGAGGGGGAAGTAGGGAAAGAGAGGAGATAAAATAATCAAAACTAAAGAAACGCATACCAAGGTAGAATAATGGGAAAACTATTAAATACCTTGGTAAAACCCTAATAAATAAAGATAAATGGCAATGTAGAGGAAATACTGTAAATGTATCTATTGTAAAGACCAATGCCTCTAATGTGTAAGAAAATGCAAGAGGAAAGAAAATACAAAAGCTATTTCTATAATTCAGAATTTATGGGGTGGGGGCAAAATGATGGCAAATTCTAGGCCAGCCTGAGCTTCAAAGCAAGATCTTGTCAAAACAAACAAAAAGGAAAAAGATCAATAACAGAACAGTAATATTAAAAATACAATTAGTTAACAGTGTTTGAGGAGATTAAAAACCTACATTGCATCGCACCAATACTATGTGACAGCAGCAGGCAAGGAAACTTGTTCCAGAAGTAACCTCTACATTAATAAGGAATTACTTTTGAAATATACTTAAAAGATTCTAGGTTTGACCTTGACAAGTCCTGCCATCAATAACATTCAATAGTAAATCATATTCCTAAATGTGATTCTCTAATAATTTCTTATAACAATGTTTTATTCCAGGGTAGAGGATAGTAATGTTCAAGATAAACCAGATTTCAAAGTTTAATGGAGGCCATGCAACATGACTATCATTCACAGTCCTAAAGTACATATACTATATTTTAAAATACCCATGAGTTCATAATATTCGGAAAAAAAATAATTACATTATTTCTTCATCCTCTCAAACTGAAACACATTTGACTTTGCCTTTTCAACGGACATGTTTCTTAAGGCAATAAAACAGTACTTGGCGATTAAAAAAAAAAGATAGGAAAGTAGGAGAATGACATATGTAGAATGATCAGATAAAAATAAATTTTTTCCTTAAATCAACATTTTTTAATCTTGGGTGAAATAATAGATCAAGTAAAGTAAAGACAGAAAAAAATACACATACAAGGCAAAGGACTATCAATTATAGCTATTTGCTTTTGCTCTGCAATCTCTGTCAACAGAACTAATTTAGATAGAAAAATTAGAGACCCACATTAATGTTTTTTTGTTTTGTTTTGTTTTGTTTTTTTATCTTACTCTATTGCAATTAAGGAAGAAAAGAAAATGAGGAGGAGTTTAAGGGCAGTGAATCAGTAAGTAATGCTGCTATGGTTCCTTCCCCGACTCCCTTTAGTGATGAATTGTGAACTGGATGGGTATAAAAACATCCTAAGCTTTGTAAGTCCAAACCACAAAGAGCAAATATGAATATTTCACAAAAGAAATATTTTCTGCTCATAACAAGAGAATCAAAGTCAAAAAGGTATCACCATAAAGGTGACAGGGAGGTTTAAAGGTAAATTTGCTGAAATGGAGAAATAAAAACAGAAAGACTTAAAGAAAATGAGGAGGAATGAACATGCAGAAATGAACAGGATGTTATCCTATTAAAAAAAAAAAAAGGGGGAAGGTGAATTAGTAAAGAGCTGAGCAAATTAAGAACACAAGGACTGAACCAGCATCAGAGGAAGGAGATGATTCACTGCTTCTAACAGTGGTACCTGTCAAATCATACATCTAGAAAACAACATTTTGAAGACCTAGAGACAGAATTAAGAAAAGAACTGAAGAACTGGGGCAACAAAGACAGGAAAGTTGAAAGGTGCAAGCTGAAGAAGAAACATGATATTTAAAGTGAAATGTACTTTTGAAGAGACCAAGAGAAAAATTGTAGAGGAGGAGGAAAAGAACAAAGGTACACACACCCATACACACACTTATGTAAAAAACATAGTCCTGAAAACTCAAGTTTTGAAAACAAAAAAGCAAAGGCAAAAGGAAAGAAAGAGAGAAAGGAAGGAAGGAAGGAAGGAAGGAAGGAAGGAAGGAAGGAAGGAAAAAGAGAAGAGACTAAAAGTAGACTAGAGGAAGAAAACAAAAACTCATCTGTTGAAGCAAGAAGAAACATGCTATGGGTTGACTCTACAGGGATATTTAAAACAATTTTGTATACGAAGACAACTGGAAATTAATTTTTAAGAAAATTAAAGCAAAAAATAGAAAAGTGGTAACAGAGGAGCAACAGGAATACAAGCTAAGAATAGAAAACCAAACAAACAGAAAAATGGAGAACTAAGACAAGAAATGGGAAAAGATGAAGAAAATGAAACCTTTGGACTGAGCAGAGACTATGAAGAATTAATCAATTTAAAAGGCAATGTTTTTATTCACACTAAAACCCCTAAAAAGCCACTTTGAAAAGAATTAATAGCTCTGAAAAAT